ATCCATTTGGACTTGAGTTTTGTGCATGGCGATAGATATAGTTCTATTTCAATTCTTATACATGTTGATGTCCAGTTATGCCAGCACCATTTGTTAAATATGCTTTCTTTTTTCCACTTGATATTTTTTGCTTCTTTGTCAAAAATCAGGTGTTTAAAAGTGTATGGATTAATATCTGGTTCTTCTATTCAGTTCCATTGGTCCTCCTGTCTGTTCTTATTCCGGGCTGTTTTCAGTACTGTAGCTCTGTAGTAGAATTTGATGTCAGGGATTGTGATGCCTTCAGAAGTTCTTTTTTGTACAGGATTGTTTTGACTATACTGGGTTTTTTGCTTTTCCATATGAAGTTGATATCATAGTACTCTTTAAGTGAGTAAAGATAAAAAAGGTTGGTTGAAATCAATCTGAGTCCAGCCAGATTTTTTTTTAGGAAAAGTTCATAAGTTGAGATAGGCTTTTTCTTTTTGAATTTTTGACACAGGCTATGTCCACATAGCTATAGATGCCAGGAATTTATTATGAGGAACAAGCTGTTCTCACTGAGATTGGTCTCACCCACACTCCCATGTGCTGTGATTATAGCCATGCACCTCTAAGTACAGCTGAATATGTGTTTTTAAAGGACTTATCATTGAATCAGAGAAAGAATAAGTGTTAAAAAGGAGCATCATTGTTTTGGAGAATAGAAATATTTCCTTAAATTTTATAATTAAAATGGCCAAACCATTTCATGTGTTCTAAATAATGGGTTATTTTCTTTGTATTGTTAATTCCACCAATTTAAAAATTTATGAAGTGTGTCTGTGCGAATACGACATAGGAGGTCCTTCTGTTTGTGTGCTGCTTTCATTGGTAAATAAATAAAGAAACTGCCTTGGCCTAGTTGATAGGGTGGACCTTAGGTAGGCAGAGAAAACAACTGAATTCTGGGAAGAAGAAAGCAAAGTAAAAGAACCACCATGGTGCTGCCAGAATCAGACATGCTGAATCTTTCCTGGTAAGACATGAACTCATGCTGATAAACTGATTAATAGAAATGGGTTAAATCAAGATGTGAGAGTCAGCCAATAAAGGGCTAGAGATAATGGGCCAGGCAGTGATTTAAGTAATATAATTTCTGTGTGGTTATTTTGGGTGTAAGCTAGCTGGGTGGCTGGGACCCACCCTCCTCATGCAATATAAATATACCTGTGCCATGATGTGTATGCAGCACTGATAGGAAAACTAACAGGGGTCTATAATCTACTTCTGCTTTGTAAGTTTTAGTGATTAAACTTAGTGATTCATTTGAAAGAAAATGACCTCAATGGCACTTTTTTAGATTTAAAAATTATTCATGAAAAAGCTGTTGGAGAATTGTGTATGTGCAACTGCTGAAGTGAAGAAATTTGAGAAAATTTGTAGAAGTATTATGCATAACCCAGAGATTGAACCCAGGTCATCAGACTTAGCAGCAATGAACTTTACTAAATGAGGCAATTCTATGCCATATAATTTTGGTTCTGAGACAGTGTTATAAATAAATGTCTAGTCTTCAAAATGAATAAATTTTACCTTTTTAATATTTCTTCAAGTGGAATGTGAACACCAGTGAATTGTCACAATGGGAAAGGACTGTTGTGTGCCAGACTACAAACCTAACCTCAATCCCTATAGAACATCAAGCTATGGTTTTACATACACAGCTAATGGCTGATTATCATACTTTATTACATCTATATAAGATAAATAAAAATAAATGAAAATACTTTTTTGAATACACACATGAGGTATTTAATGTTTCTTATAATTTCTTTTATCAGTCATTTTAACATTAACATTCTTAAATTCTCTTAAAAAACAGCATATATTGGGTCTTCATCATCTATCCTTGAACTTGTACGAAAGAGTAAGACAAATGAGCATCATGAGTTCAAATGTTTCCCTGAATTATTACTGCCATTCAATGTAAGATGAATAACAAACAACAAAATCACAAGGGAATTTGTGAAAAGATAAAAATCAAAACCAGGAACAACAAACCACCACCCTTACATGAAATGTATGATCAAACAAGTCCTGATATTTCAATAACCAATGGGACAATTATATGATGGGGACAACATTCTACACATTACAGTAGATTAACACCTATCACTAGGTACAAGCACAATAGCAGATGAACAAAGGCCACAGAAGGAATATAAGGCATACAAAATAAACATCACTAAATGGATTTGCCACACATATAGCACTTCAGTGAGTACCTCAAATGTTTAAAAATAAAAACCACAATGGAATGATCACAACCATCAGTCTGGAGTGAACATGGTATGTAATTTACTTACTTCAAGGCTATCATGAAAAATATTTTTTCTTGAAACTAAAGACACCTGTGATGTCTAAAGTCATTAACAAATTTTTCTCATGAACAGGGATTTCTTCTTTATGAATTTGCACATATTTCATACTTCCAAGTGATATAAATAAAATTTAACATATTTACAGCAATAGAGTCATGGCTAGGTGACTAAAAAAGGTTCATTCCCAGGACTAAGATCAGATTTTTAACAACCTCCTGTAATTTCTGCTACAAGATGATCCAAAGTGTTAATTTTCCCAGGATACAGAATACAAATTCATATACCTACAGACACACACACATACATCACATAATGACATAATTAAAACAGCTTTCATCATGAACTGGTTCATGTAAAGAAAAGGAAAATTTAAGCTTGAAGTAAGAGAAAATAATCCTCCTAAATTGGTGGTATCATTTGGGAAGAATTAGGACATGCTGTCATGTGGAAGGAAATATGTCACTGAGAGTAGGCTATGAGAATTTACACCCAGACACCAATTCCAGTTCCCATTCTCAGCTCCATGTGGGAGATTAAGGATGTGAGTTCGTAAGCTCCTGCTTTAGGTGCCATGTCTGACACTTGTTGTCATGACACTTTCATGTTGATCCTTTTATCCTATATAACCAAAAGCCAAATAAATTGCATTTGTAATTTGAAATAGTTATTATATCACAACAAAAAAGGAGCAAGTAGACATCCATAATGATTTATACCCAAATTACTTAAGCCATGCAAATGAAGAGAAGTATCTTCAAATCTAAAATGGTTACTTTATTTGTATTCATAGTGCAAGTGTTACAGTTTTGGAGGGAAAGGTACCCTTACTGCCTGAAGTCAGGCAACACCTACAGTTGTGAAGGAAAGGTCACTCCACTAGATGTAGCCATCCTGTTCCTCTCTGAGAGAGAGCCATCACAGTTTGGATCTGCTCCATTCTTCTAAGAGAGTTGTCCTGTAGAAACCTCTGTTGCTGATAAAAAGTGTCCATTGTTTTGTCCTCTTCTGGGCTAAATGTGTTTCTAAGTAGAAGTATCAGTTGTATCTCAGTTCAACTCCACAAGGGAGTTTCTGATTCATCCCAGTGCAAGGTCTTCACACAAATCTCAAACAAGAGATGTATTTGGGAAGGAAGAAACCAGGAGTGTGGTTGCCTCTGCCATGGTAGAAAGTGGTAGCTGCCTGCTAAATGGCTCATATAGGGCTTCTTAGAACCAGAGTCATACAGATATTTGGAAGGTAGGAATTGGTTGGATTTCAATCCCTGAGCTTGAAAAAGCTAAAAGATGGGCTGGATTTTGTGCTCAGTTGGACAAGGAGGAAATGTATTTCTTTGGCTCTGGTTTGAGAGCCAAAGTATGTTTCCTTCATTGGCCCTTTTTACCTTTTTGGCTCTGTTTACAGGGTGATGTTGTTTCTTACACTAGCTGTAGATTCAGGGACAAAGTGTTTTCCTTTGGATCTCATTTCAGGACCAGGGTATAATTCGTTGACTGACTCTTTCTTCTAACCATAGGATGTCATAAATTAAAAAATTAGGTTTTCTTCATCAGTTTGCTAGTGTACACAAAATAAAGAGATATCCTAATGCTTGAACAGATTATTGAAACTTTCAATTTTTTTGAAGAGTAAATGTTGGTTAAATGACTATAAGTGTATTAGCTTTAGATCTTGAAAAATAGTTAAGGAGATCTCAGTTTCTTCTTCAGGTACCCAAAGACTATTGTAATGTGGAAAAGATTTATCCGATTGATCACACACAAAAGTTTTACTCCTGTATAAAGTGCAAAACATTATCACACCGAATTCATTGATAGACCTTCATTGCAGTATGATATTTTTCATGTTTTTGAAGACTACACTCATTAAATTCATAGTTTCTCTCCAGGATGGTTTATTTTATGTAGTTGGAGATTATTGTGACAAAGGATTTAGCACATAGATTATAGATTCCAATCATGGTTTCTCTTCTGTATATGTACATTTATGCATTTGAAGACGAATAAGAAATGAAAAGGCTTTATCACACTGATTCCATTCATACTTTTTCTTGTTCTTTTAAGCCTTTGAAGATGACTGTGCTGTGCAAAGGCCTTACCACACTGATTTCATTCATAGGGTTTTTCTCCAGTATGCATGCTTTCATGCACTTGAAGAGTACAGTGGTCTGCAAAGTCTTATCACACAGATTACATTTGTAGGGTTTTTATCTAGAGTGAGATGTTTTATGACTTTTAAGATTCCTGGGAGTTGTAAAGGCCATACAACACTAATTTCTCTCATACAGTTTCTCTCCAGTATGTTTTCTTTTATTTAATTGAAGATGACTGCAAGATGCAAAGACCATACCACACTAATCACATTTATACAATTTCTTCACAGTATGTGTTTTTTTATGCTTTTGAAGATTACTGTGAGCTGCAAAGGCTTTACCACACTGATTACATTCATAGGGTTTCTCTCCAGT